AGCTTTTTTCCCCCAGGCAGCATCCCAACCAATTTCTAGTCAGCTTGTGCAGCAAGTTACTCCCAACCTTTCCTGTCTCAGGAGCTCCATTTTGGTTTTATAACTCCAGGGACCTTGTATTTAAGCAATCAGTTTTGTCTTGTCCCTCTGCAGGTGGAGGGATGGGGCAGAACTGGCTGGTTTGGTGTCGCATCCCCCACCAAGTTTTGAATCTGCTGGTGCATTTCAACCAGACCTGACAGAGGTCTCAGAAGGATTCTGTATTTGCAGGTTTCATGAATTTAGCAGCCTTTAAATGGTCCCACTGCAAGGAGAAGCTGCAAGGGAAGCAGATCTCCTTTTTATACCCCAGGGTTTCCCTTGTCTCTTACACAGAGAGCCAGATTTCCCCATCCCTACTGTCATTTCAGAAAATGGAATTAAACTCCCACACGTGGAAAATCCGCATTTCTTCTTGCACATGCACATTCCCCTTCCAGCCCCGTGTGAGCATCCATTTTATATTGCTCCTGTCCCTTATGTCCAAACGTCTTGCAGCATTTAATTAAGTCTGCCCAGCAATGCAGAGCAGGCAATTGCTGTCATCTCCCATTCTCCAGGGGTGGGAGGCAACCCAGGCAAGGAGAAGTGATTTTACCCACAGCCACACCATGAGCCTGGGGCAAAAATCCACATCCTGCCTGTGTTACCTCCCTGCCCTCTTCCCAGTGTGCTGTGCCCAGCCCCTGTTTTCCCAGAGAACTGGCAGTGGCAGCCTGTCTACTCAGCTGGATGAGCCCATCTCACCTCTTCACTCTTTGCCTCTCATGTCCAGCCTTGAACAACAAAGCTTTATTTCTTTTTTCCTAGAAAAGATTTGTTTTTCTAGAACTGGCCTCAATTGAGCAGCATCATTAGTGAAACTCCTGTGTCAGTGCCTCTGCCTGGCTGTTTGCATCAGGTATTCAAGTGCTCAGCCCACTGTTTTCTTTGCTTTGCCTTGTAGCTAAATAATCACTTTCTGAGAGAAGAGAAAAAGGACAACCCTACAATATACTTCAAAGCAGTGGGCTGAAGCTGGTAACTGTTCTGTGGTAACAGGAATATTTTCTGGTCGGAGCAGGACCCAGTCCCAAAGCCAAGCTGAGCTTCATCTGTTTTCCAGCCTTCCTGCAGTACCTCATACCCAAGGCTCTCATGGCCAGGAACAACAACAAGGATAGTGATAATGAATATTCAGACACCCCACAAACCACTCTCAGCATCTGCCATCCTATCTGCATTAGCATCAATGTGCACAGATAATGATCAAAGCAGCATTTCCCTGCCAGAGGCCCCCCTAAACCACCCTTATTAGTATGAATCGATGCTGATTAATGTGCTTCCTTAATGCAATTGTATCTACTCCTACTGTTCATGATTTAATAGAAAACATCTCCCCCTTTGCCTGCCTTCCTCCTAATACCACATCCTTGCACCACAGCAAGGTGCAAACCTTGACTGAGGGGACCAGGAAAATCAGTGGTCCAAGTTTTGCAAGAAAGAGACCTAAAGTCTGCTGAAATGAAACACAGAGGAGGGAACAAGCCTTTGGAGATTGCAGCAGGGAACTATTTTCCATGCTAGGATGGGAGATCTGAATCCAGGCATCCTATGAAAGATATCAGCAGCTATGAGGTTCTACAGCAATTCTGCTTAAGCAGCATATAAAACAGCCCTGATAACTGCAACAGGCTCTGTGCTTGCTGCTGACACACTCCTGGACTTCAGCAACGGTGAGAGGAGGAGTGTTGCATGGTTTGGTTTGCCTTATGCTGCTCTGAGCCCCGACAGTGGCTTTGTCTCAGGGTTTCCAGTGTCAAGGGCACAGTCCTGATGCACTGTGTCCATGTTCCTGCACAGAGGGACACTGGGGAAATCACCACTAAACAGCTGACAGGGTTTCAGTTGGGGATGGGGGAGGCCCTCTGGCCTGACTTCACATCCTCTCCAAACCCTTGGTCACTGGGGCTGCTCTGGGGTCTGCTATGGGCCTTAGGAGAAGAGCAGTGGTCAGGTGAAACCTCCCTCAACAAAACCACAAGTGCCCCAAGGAACTGTTTGACTGAGGGACACAGAACAAACCAGCTGACCAAAAAACATATGGGGGGAAAGGAACACTGGAAGAGAAGATTGCACAGAAAATTCCCCTGCTCCACATCAGCTGCTTTCCTAAGGAAAGGAGTGATATCCTTAATGTAGAATATGTGCCTCCCTTGGGCTAGTCTAGTGCAAAGAGCAATTGAGAGACATCATTTGGTAGGAAAGAGGCTTCTGTGTTAGAATTAAACAGTTGACAAAATCCCAACAGCTTTACAGATTCTCAGAGTCAATTTAAGGAGCCCACAAAATGAGATTTTACCCCTGTGGGTTTCAGTAAAACGATATGTTCTGGGGGGTGTGCACAGTCCAGCTCTCAGCTGCCAGGACTGACTGTGGCTCCACTAATTCCCCACAGCAAGACTGACTTTGATACTCCTTCAAAAATGCATGGGCTCAGTTTTTAAGCGACCAGTTCTGCCAACAGGGACAAATATTAAAAACAACCAGCCCTCCAACATCCAGCCAGACTCCTACCTGATGGCTCCATGTGCTCTGCTGAAGCACATAAGGCTTTCCCCTCCTCCTCAGGTGACCACACTGGGAGCAAATTAGTCCCAGAGGGTGTTTTTCCAAAGTGCTCATCTCCCAGCAGCTCCAACCAGGACACACATGGCTGGAGTTCCCCAATCCCTTCAGCTCAGCACGTGGTATTTGGCCATGAGATGTCCCAAGGTGCCCTTGCAGTCTTCCCCCTGCCTCTCTAAACTCTTTCCCTGATGATTTCCACTGGACTTTGTCTTGTCTCCAGTTTCTTTTGTGGGCACTGACTTCTCCAGCATTGTCACCATCTGTGAGACCCTTCTCAGACTCCTCCCGTGCACACAGGATGCTGCTGCCTGTTTTCTCTCATGGTGGAAGGAGGGTGTTGTGTCCTCCCCATGATACATAGGAAAATGTCTTTCCTAAGTGCTTCAGCAATATCCAGCAGAAACAGAGAAAAACAGATCCCTTACCACTTCCCATGTATAAAGTTTATCCTGAACTGAGATAAGGCTTCAAATTCTTAGCAGTCTCCTACAAATCAAAAGGGAATTCGTTCCTCACCCCCTGACAGATAAAACTAGAAATCACGGGCTTCACATGCAAACAATTTTTAGCTCCTTTCTAAGAGTGGAGGTGGCAGAGCTGTGGCACAGGCTGCCTGCTCAGGGTGTGAATTCCCCATCACAGGAAACCTTCCAGGTCACACACGACCCTCTGTCAGACGTGACACAGGTATGTCTGAGTCTGCCCTGGGGAAGAGGCACGGAGTAAATGACCTCTCAAGGTCCTTCCTGACCCGTTTCTCCATGATTCTTAGAGACAGGATCCCAGGCTTGATGGATCTGTGGCCTGACCCGCAGTGACAGTCCGTGGATGTGTCTGAACACATCCATCGTGTGGGTTCCCCTCCCAGCCCAGCCCTGCAGAGTGCTGTGCTGGCAGCCCGGGCTGCACAGCTCTTTAGCAAAGGGCAGAGCTGCTGCCAGGGGCACTGAGCAGGGCAGGGATCCGTGGCTTTGGTCAGAGTGTCTGTTGTCAGGCAGGGCAAGGGGTGAGCTGGGGAGAGCCACAGCCAGGCAGAAAGGCTTTGCAAAAAAAGGTGAGTTTTCTCTGCTGTTCTGTGCAAGCAAAGACCTCACTGTTAGAACCTCACTAGTGGAAGTGTGGCAGCAGAATTTCTAGTTTTTGGGGCTGTCTTCCCCCTGAGCTGTTTTGAATGAGGACAAGCCGGGACAATATTTTCAACCCTGTGCTAATCCCCCCTTGCTGGTGCGAGGGGAGGGGGTGCTGCACTCCCTGGAGGCCACGGCACAGGAGCAACTCATTTTTCTTCCCCACACAGAGATGATGCCTTGCATGTCTCTATTACTCTGCAAGGGCTTTTGGCTCCCTGCCCGTGGGAGGACACTGCCTGCACACATGTGGATCCCTGCTCCCCCATCCCCAGCCATCCTGTGTCTCCATGTGCCAACAGGCTATTCACTGGCACTTCCCTGCCTACTGGTTTGCATGGTTGTGTTTGCAAGTGTCTTTCTGAAGCACAACAGGACTATATAATTATGTAAATGCACACATGTCTCTGAGAGTTTTGCAGTCTCTTTGGGTTTTAGCACAAATCTCCTGACACTTGCTGGCTTATTCCCCTTCACTCCAAAACACTTGCTGCTCTAATGGGAGGTTCATGTGAGCACCCCGGCTTTTCATGTTAAAATGAAGGGAAAAAAGTGTGTTTCTGGATGGCACAGCTGGCAAGAAGAGCTTGAAACAAGCAGCAACAAAGGCTTCAAAACCTAGAAGGTAAAGGAAAATCCAAATTCTGCCTATTTTCTGTAGTTTTTTAACTCTCTGCAGTTTTTTAAACCAAGATCACAGTTCTGTGAGCAAGTCCAACACATTTGGGGAGAAAATCTGCAAAGGTCTCTGGTAGGCAGCAGACAGGTAAGGCTCATGCAGGGCAGAGTGAGAGCTGTCACACTGATGTGTGCTGTGACATCTTTATGCCCACGTGAACCTGAAGCTATTGGCAGCCACATGTATGAGTCTGGGCTGTCCAGAGCTTCGCTGATTTGAAAAACCTGCTTGTGAACCTGCCTGTGAACTGTCTGTCACCGCAAATGAAGAACACCCACACCCTTAGTCCCTTTTTATCTCCGTCTACGCTGTGCACATTGCCATGGCACTGCAGCGCTTTCATCTCACTATCAGAGCCCCACAGCCCAGCCTTTGAAGCAATTTGCTCTGCCAGCTGAGGACCACAGAGAACCAAGGGAGTGTTTCCAGGTGGAACAGGGACAATGATCCATCTCCCATGGACTGGGAGCCTGGAGCCCACGGGAACTGGCTGAGTTCCCACCACCAAACAAGGTCTCCGAGCCACGGGCGGGGAGCCGACATACCTGTATATTTTATATCTGGTTGTAAATCCTTGACGATGTCTTTCCACAAAGGATAAGTAGCTCCGTGAGTGGTGGAAAGGCCCCCTGTCTGAAATAAGCCAATCAAACTCCTTGGAGACATGTTGGTTGGTAGCAGCTGGGTCCTGGTGGGAGGGCTGTACGAGTATATGGTCCCATATAAACAGGAGGTAGAGGAACTCAACAAGCCTCCAGTTCATGCTTTTCTGTCTGCCTTTTTCCTCTCATTCTTGCTCCATTCTGTGGAGTCCTGTTGAAATAGAGAGGGAATGGGAGGAAGGAGAGAGAGAGAGAGAGAGAGAAATGGAGGGGAGGAGAGGGAGGAGGGAGAGAAAGAGAGAGTTTAAAAATGGGAATTGCTTTGATCCTTTGACAACCGTCTCTCAGGGTGCAAATAGACAGGAAAAATCTAGTTTTAAAAGCCTTCAGTTTGCCTGTGTTACAGCTTAGAGTATTTGGCAGTTTTTTGTTCATGTGCCTAAGTGGTGCCTTTAACCTCCTGAGCATATATCACCTTTGAAATAACCAGGTCCTGACCTGAGCCATCCTCACCCCAGCTTCTCCATCATTTCCCTCGTGAAGTTCTCTGCAGTGCTGCAAAGGCGAGTGAAGGCCGGGCACAGGAGGTGGCTGCACCCCAGGCTACAATTACCCCTTTATTGTCCCTTTAATGCTGTGCCAGAGAAACGTGTCTTCTGCTTTCATGTCTCTCTGATGATCTGTAATCCATACTCTGTGCAACCTGAGCAATCTATAAAGACCCAGCTCTCACTTTAAAGTGTTGCCAAAAAAAGAAATAAAACAAAATAATTACCCAGGCTCCGGCGAGGAGCACACACGGACACACAGACACAGACACACACACACAGCCATGAAATCCTGCCAAACTCTGACAGATAAAAATGTCCTCAGCCTGCTTTCCTGCCTGGGTTTGGGGAGATGTGTGTCTGGTGGAGCGGGATGGGGTCTGTTGCTATTTCAGTGGGACCTCCAGGCTCTTCCCAAGATCAAGGCTCTGCAGGGTGATATATTTAACGTGCATATTCAGTGTAGGAGGTTTACTAGGGAGCTTCAGGGGGTGCTCCACACCACCTGGAGCAGGGCACGCTGTCGCTGCCGTGGTGGGAGAGCGGCTGTCCCGCCGCACCCCCCGGCACAGCGCGGCTGAGGACAGCCCTGCCACGAGCCAGCTCCTGTCCCTGGCGAGGGACAAGACATATGATGAGTGGGAAGGGAAGCAGAGGGGTGAGGTGCCTTGCCAAAGGTTACTCAGCATGCCATGGATACAGCTGGAAGAGAGCCCTGGTCTCCTGACTCCCATTTCCAGCGTTTCAGCCCTTAGATCATCCGCCTCCGCAGTCAGGCTGCTGGCCCGATGCCCTTCCCTGAACAAAGCCATGTGTTCCCTTGGGGGCAGGTGAGGGGCTTGTTAACACCCTGCACCCAGTGTGTAACCCCCCACTTTCTCCTGAACCACAACCTGCTGGGTTGTGCTCCTCATCACTGCTCGGAAAAATTCCTCTCTCCACACTCGGAACCGGTTCTTCCTCCTGCCCCACTCCTGTTCTTCTGGGTTTTGTGGAGGATATGCCAACACAGTGTGCACACCTGGACAGGCAGAGCGATCTCAAGGCTGCATCTCTCACTCAAACCTGGCCAAAAGTTTTCCCCCTGGTCAGGTGATACCCACCTATTTCTGTAAAACACAGTGTAGAGAGACTGCAGCTACTTTTTAAAGCAGGAGAAAGGCTATGCAGAGCTCTGCCACAGTGAGATTTAGTGTCAGGCTTATTTGTACATCTCCAGAAACCCTTCTGAGTCAACCATAAGCACTCCAAAAGTTTGCAATTCCCAGAGAGAAAAGGTTTTGCTAAGAGGGAGGCCAAACCGAGGTGCCACACACATTCCCACCCTGGCTGGTGTGAGCAGCAGAGCACAGACCAGAGGCCATCAGCGTTTCTGCCTGGTATGAACCATCTCCCATGCCCCAGGAATTGTCACCAGGAGCACAGCAAAGCTCCAGCCCACGGCAGTGAGTGTGCAAGTCTGCTGTGCAGGTGGATTAAAGCCCTGGGTGTGCCGGGGAGCACAAGAGCCGAGTGTGAGCCGGGGTGTGTGGGAGCCTGCACGTGTGCACAGCATGTGTCAGTGGAGCTGCAGAGAGCTCAGCAGCGCTTGACAAGGCAGAGTTGTGTAAGTCTGCTTAAAAATGACACTCAGCTGTTGCATTACAGGAAGAAATGAGAAAAAATTAAACATGGGGAAGTTTTTCTGTTTTTTGGTTTTTTTTTCTGTGTTGGCCATGTGTAAACTTCTTCCCATTTGCAGAATAACTTAATAATTGTTATTATTAAACCTGATGGGACCTGCAGCTCCTGGCTGAGGAGGTTGTTCCTGTTCTGGAGACGTGTATTTAACATCAGCCTTCACCTGACTCCTACTTCACCCATACACAGGGCAGTTCTTGGTGCTTTAGTCCCTCACCTCACACAAAGGACTGGTTCAAGTCTACCTTAAAAAACAGGGGTTTGGGGAGTTTCCAGCCCCACACTGAGGGGATCAGAGCATATTCCAAGTGGGCTACAGTACACCTCTGCTTCCACTCACAGCAGTCATGAGCCTGAGGTGATTACTGGAAAAAGCTCCCAGCTGCATCCCACCCTCAGGATTTCCAAATTCCAGTTCAACAGTTTCTGCTGGCTCTCCATCCTTGCTGCTCTTGTCCCACCACAGTGGGATGCAGCTGCCAGCCCAGCAGATTTGCCCTTAGCAGGATGTGCCATCACTGCTGATAATGATCAGGTGTTCTGCACATGTTGTCCAAGCTGGCTTGGTTGTCTGTTCATTAAACTCATCAGCCAGCCTGGATCAGTTTTCCTTTAAATATTTCACTTTCTATTGAATTCCTATTGCAAAGAAAGGCAGGGAGCTCTTACACACCAAGGTGGAGTGACAACCCCCTTCCAGTTCCCAGCACAGGGCAAGTGAGGACCAAAAGATTGGGAAGAGCCAAACAAAATGGGTTTAAGAGAAATCCCAGTGTGTCCTCCCACACGAGAACATCAGACATTGGGGAAATATGGGCTTGTGAAAGAAAGGAGATGTTCCCTAATTCCCCACACATACCATCTTCATCCTCCCTTCCTTTCCTTCAGGCCACAGTCAGAGTCAGGATGATTAGGGTTGTGATGGTACTTAACCAAGAAGTAAAACAGGGGGAGAACATGCCTTGAGACCACTGGAAGAAGTGGCCACATCTCCAGTCTGGAAGCTGGATCAGTGCTGAGAGCAGGGAATGGTGCCTGAGGCAATGGAGGATGGCAGAGCACAACTGGATCCAGACTGCTATCACACCATCAACTTTAATTTTTTAGTAGTATCTTTTTCCCCCCTGTAGCTGCTGTAGGGATGTTGTTTCACATTAAAGATTAATACACTCCACAGGGCTGGTCCCCATGGAAGCTATAAAGCTTACTAAAGTGGGATTATTTTGTGTCTAAGGCAATATTGTGAGGTGCATTCAATCTAACTCCTAACGAGCTTGAATCTGAAATTAATTTGTTAGGTGTCTTTATGGGGCTCCACTGATGTGAAATATGTTCTGGGGATCTGGCAAAAGGGAAAAGGGAAGAAGCAGGGAGGTGATGTCTCCAAGTCTATAACCCCTGGTTTAGAGACTCAAGGCTAAGTCTGGCACAGAAAGAATCTCAGCACTAAAGGGAAGGCTTGGGGGAGTCAGACACTGAGTTTTGATCCAGAAATCCAATGTTCTGCTCAATTCTGCCCCAGACACCCTCTAGGACCTTGGTCAGTGCCCTTGCATGCTTATTTTTGGCCTTACTTTCCAGTTACCAACATGGAGTCACAGCAGTATTTGTGTGACTGCTTGGATCATGAACTTGTTGGAGAGGCCAGAATCTGGTTGTAGCATCTACAACAATGCAAATCTGCTGCCCACATGACTCACAAGGTGTTTCTGTCCTACGAGCAATGAATGACAACCATCTCAGCCAGCTTTGTAAGGCAGCAGTTGAAAAAATCCAAGCTAAAAAGCTCCCTTTCCACTCAGCAGCACCACAGAGCAATGCAGGGAGCTGGGGCCTTCTGGTTCATGTCAACAAACATGATCATGCAAATGTCACATCTGTTAACAAACATGATCAGTGGGTGAGCCAGAACACGGGCTACAGTTCAGGGTAAATAAGTAGTGGGAGAAGAAAATGTTCCATGTGCTGATTCTGAGTCACATTCCAGTCATTTTCCAGCATCGTCCATCCCTCAGTGCAAATGGAGGTTCCTGTTACAACCCCTTGCAGTTTATTAGGCGGTTTAAGGTGGCCTTTTTCTAATACAAATTCAGTCTGGAGCATTAAATGTTCCTTATCTTATGAGTCTTCAGGATTCTTGGAGGAAAAAATAGGCAAGTACTTTCTGTAAAGTGCAAGTTGTATTTGAATGTACACTTAATTTCATCGTGATTGATATCTGTGTGTTAATTATATTCTATTTTCGGCAATACCTTTGCTGTCACAAGGCAGTGCCTTTTATCCAAGGAGTTCAAATTGAATTAGAGACATTAATTAAAGCTCTCAGCACTCTAGTAAGGCAGGCAAGTGCTGTTACTCCCATTGTTTCTTGAAATAAGAAGAAAAGAATAGAGCTGGGTGTCTACTTAGCCACTTAAAATGTAATTTTTATACAGTGGGGTAGCTCAGAATGATAGATTTTGCACAAAATGATATTGCAAGGTCTTGTTTCATCTGGGGGAGGCTGTGCAGCCCCAGATCCCTCTATAAATGGGCAGACAGGATGAAATGCTCTGACTCTCCATTGCTTGCTGTGAACACTCCACTACTCCTCTGCCTCCTGGGATTTTCTACTTTTCTCCCAACCTCTTCACCTTTCATTTATCCCTTCTATTAGACTCAAATTGATCTTGCACACATCCCTTCTGTTTCCCCCATGCTCGTTGGTGTGAACTATTTCCATCAGAAATGCAGACCCGGGAAAGAGAAATTACTGAACATATTATTTGAAGTAAAGAAATAAGTCCCCTATCTCTTTAAGCTTCATGCACCAATAATTCTTCCTTGTGTCCCACATTTGGTTCTTGGCAGGTTGAGAGAGGCTTCTGCCTGCTGCCATTTACCAGAGGGAGGAGGCTAACAATTGCTATTTGTATCTGAAACACTTCTGTTCTGCAGCAACTTCACACAGTGCTTTAGGATGCTGATAAATTAGTAAGAGGCTGAAGAG